CGACTGATCAATGGAATCTCTCCTGTACACGTCGCCTGCAAAAAAAGCAAATTGTCTCACACAGTTGCCCTTCCATCGCTTCTGTGACGAAGTATTTCTTAAGTTGCAAGAGGTGAACCACACATTGCAGGGCAGATCTTAGACAAAATGAAGCTGCAAAGTGGACATGGCCCACACCTGTGATCAGGAAGGCGCGCTCGCCCTTCCTGAGTGTTTCTGCCTGGTGAGCGGAGGTGTGACACCGCAGAACCGTCTCTGTGTCGATGTAGTAGGTGTCATTGGGGCTCCTCGACACATGATCGGCTGGCACAAGGACCTCGTCAAAGTTCTGTTCATGCCCAACACCCACAGAGCTGTATGAGTATCTGGATGCACAGCGGCCTGCAAAGCTATGACATTGAATGTGCACAACACACGCATGAAAGCTTTCATGAATGCGTTATGAGATCAAGGCACAGCAGCATGGAGACAGGCGGCAAGAATAGGAAATATACTTGGAGGTCAGGCTGCAAGATGGACCGACTATCTGCCTGTGCAGCCTCTTGATGGGATCAAGTTGCTCCTGGACAAGGGGCCCACCGCTTTAGCAGTGACCACAGGATGGAGGTCATCCAGCTTGGTGTACACTCCAGGATGACGCTCATCAAAGAATGCATAGATTGCCTCCTTGATGATGCAGATCGGGTGGTCCGGTCGTCTGTGCAGGTTGGCGCCAATCTTGGCAAATATGTTCTCCGTGACATTGTTGAAAGGGTGGCTGGTGAGTACATCTGTACTAGACAAGAATGGTCAGTATACCAGAACCTGGGACCCCATGCCATTTAAGCTGAAATTTGAAGCTGGGTTAGTCTGATGGCTCACCTTCCCTTGAGACAGTCTGGGCTTCAGCAGCGACAGCATGGAATCTCCGTCCTCTGAATCGCCTAGGCTCTGCATTGCATATTTAAAAACGTATGTAAGGCTGCATTTGGCGCTGCTGATGGCTCGTCACTTTTCGAAGAGCCAGGGCGATGCAGTACCTTGCCGGGATGTATTCCTCAGGGCGCTGCAACCACTGCTGAAAGCTGATGCTAGCCTTGTCGGTACATAATTTGTAACTGCATGGTCACACCGTGTGTCAAAACGCCCGTGCTAGGCCAAATACACGAGCATGAGTTTACTGTTTACTAGAAAGAAGTAGGCTGAGGGAGCAGGAAGCACACGAAAATAAGCCCTGTTTGAGGATTACCTGGACCGTGAAGCCTGCATAGGCTGGGTGCCTTGCCCAATAGCAGGTTGACACCCTTAGCCTGCAGCATCTTCCAAAAGCGAGGGGTTACCCCGACAAAATTAACACGTATCTGCACCCCGATCTCTGAGATTATTCCTACAGCTGAAATGGGAGAACCTATGGTTGCCGACTCTCTTTTGACTTTGTGCTCTTGAGCGATCGCTTTCTCGATGGCTTGCATGGCTCCACGCATGTGCACGTGGGCGGGCAGACGAATGAACTTTCTGGGCAAGACTCTCTGTGTCCATCAACAATTTTATTAGAAATTTTGTGCAATTGAGATAGCCTGCTGTTAGAACAGCTGAAAGTAACCTCATTTCGCGCTGGATTTGCTTGTTGGTATTCTGTCCCTGCTTAGGCGAGGATCGACGTGGGTCTGCAGGAAGAGCCTATTGAAAACCGAGCATCAGCCTATTGTAATGCGCAGGAAAGCAGTTTCCCATGCAAGCGAAGGTACTCATCTCGCGCAATCCCACGATGATCGAGCACCAGCACCTTGCCAACTGCACTTGTACAGGACCACCGAACCTCGCCAAATGCCTATAGACACGATTATTAAACGTGTTCTCCTTCTACACAGGTCCCACACCCAATCTGTACTGGGGATCTGTCACCATTGAAGAGCTGCGGGCCCACAACCTGTTCACAGGCCTGCCTGAGGCGCCTCCCTCCCTAGAGCCTGCCATGTATAGGTACTCTATCTTCAAAAAGTCATTTTGACCCCTTACAGTAGAACATTCTCAAAGACCTTTTCATCCAGGATAAAGTTCATCAAATGTATGGCAGGTACCTGCGCCAGGACACATCACTGTGGTCAACTCTGCACCAGGGGTTGCTGAGCGGCAGCTCCATAAATGCAGTCTTGGGGTTCTACGAGCCACTGGCAGCCAAGCGGCTAGGCATCCCCAATGGCTATGTGGGCCATGGCAAATTACTGTCTGCCTGCAAGAACCTCCAGCTGCCACAATATGTCCCCAGTCATGCTGACCTGGCCAGCCTGGGCTGCGCCAGCCCCCCTCCTGCCTCACAAACTGAGCAGCCCTCCAGTGCAGCACTACCTGCTGAGGATTCTGGTGCAATTAAAGCTTCAGCAGCAACAGAGGCCAAAGCAGCAACTGAAGAAGCCGGCGGTGAGAAATGCAGAGCAGGGAAAGGAAGCAACAGGAAGAAGCGGGGAAAGCGAAAGGCAGTGCCGGTGCAGCCGACAGGGCGCGCTCTGCTGGGGACAGAGTCCGTGATAGCGCGATCTGTGCGGCCTCGAGACTTCGAGCGTGAGCTCCAGTTGCATCGGATGAGCGTCTGCATGCGGAAGGCTGCTGAAGGTGCACAGTTGTCCCTCTGCTTCGTTGCACCTATGCTTAAAAGGCAGTTGTGATCAAGCTGGGTGTCCAATGAACACCATGCTACATTGCAACCGGGCCCTGATCTGTTCTGCGCTGGTGGGCACCTTGTTGTATGTTGCAGGATGTGGGGTGAATAGGTGCATGTCCATAAACCTTCGATCTGCTAGTGGCGGGTATACGGTGGTGCGCTGCAGGACTGGGACGGCAACACACAAGTATAGAAACAAAGTGGTTGAGTTGCAGCTTTGATCGTGGCTGCGACGCTGACCTGTTACAGGGATTGGCGCGGTGCGGTGCAAGTGGGGCAACACACAGGAGGCGACGGCGCTGTTTGAGCTGATGCATGCGCTGCCGGAGGGCAGCCTGGAGGAGGTGGGCCTGTGCATGGCCGACCCGGCCGCGCTGGAGAGCCGCTACGGGTTCGGCATCGGGCGGCTGCCGCCGATCGGTGCGAGCCCCGACGGCCTCATGCGCCAGCGCCATGCCTCACCGGCCGCCTCGGTGAGCTTATTTTTTTTATTAGCCCCAAACCCGAAACACCCTGAACCCTAAATGTAAATAAATATTGGAAAAAATACCTTCATCGTTGGTACCATGGGAGGCCTTGATCTCGGTTAGGTCATCGGTGGGACGGCAGGGGTACCTGCTGTACTGTCATGCACCACGCCATAAAGGCACAACAGCTGACATGCAGTCGCTGTGAGAGCGCGCGAGTCAGGAGAGCCAGAATGGACTTTTCTTTGGTGCTTTTGCATTCCACATGCATGATTTTAGCCAGTGGCTGTGTCGGGTGCCAGATTATTGTCGCCAAAGGGAAGGGCTTCAACGTCTCAGTGACTGCTACGCAGGCATTATCGGCCCTGCGGGGCGCTTTTGAGGGGCTCTCCATCCGCGACTGCAGCCGCTCCGCGCAGGAGCTAGAGGTGGTGGAGGTGAAGAACGCCTGCCCCTACCGCCAAGTCACGACTGTGACCAGAAAGGGCCGCGCCAAGATCAGCTACGTCCTTGCAGATGGAGGGCCCCACAACAGAGTGCGCACCGCTCCCTTTGGCATGGGTCTGTTGGTGTGTCTGTATTGAGTGGCCAGTCCAGTGGGAGAGCATGCTTTGTTCAGGAGTGCTTGCCAGCCCGTATGGATTCGTGCGCTCTGTTGTGCTATGTAGCACTGTCAATGCGCCTCCAAGTCACCATGCAGGCCACTTGCTGTGAGCACTTCAGCAGTGGCGCACCGCGCGTCAAGGAAAATGCAGCATGCAAAGCAATCTGACGTCTTAAAATTGCAATGTTGTGTGTGCAGATAGCAAGGAACTGGGTGGCCCAGCTGCAGCTCGAGATGCTTGCCACCCCTGCCAACTCTGCTCTCTTGGTCAGCCGCTCTGCCACAAAGGTACTTTCTGAAACCTGCGCACAAGCTGCGTCATGGTCTGTGGACATCGTCGGCATTGCGCTTGGCAGTGTACCGCCCTTCCCGGATTGCATGAAGTGCAAGCATCAAGAGAGAGTTTACGAGGTTCAGTGGCGATGACGTCCAGCAAGCCGAGACGCTGGAAGATCACAGTTGAACCCATTGTGAGGCCTGCAACAATAGAAACTGTAGGGCTTGCTCCAAATACTCACTGATGTGGCACCGGCTTTCTGCTGCAGGGCCTGACAATCTACCGCATGTGGCGCGATGAGGATTATGTCCAAACCATGCTGCACTTTGTCAGCCGCCTCTACACCGAGCATGTTTTGCCGGGGCGGACGCCCCCGGCCAACATCTTCTGGGGCCTGCCCGAATATGCCAGCTTCTTGGAGCGCACTGTCGCCCTCGCAGACGGGGCAGCTGTAGTGGCGCACATTACCACCGCAGAAGTAGAGCGTGCCGCCTGCGCTGATTTCAGGCCCTTCTTGTGATGTGCTGGCTGGGTCTGTAAGGGGATGTTGTTGCTGCCCTGAACCCTAAGTAGAACTCAACATATGGAATTTAGATCCTTCGTGGTATGAAATGCCATGAAAACTTAACGAAGCTTCAGGGAAGTCGTGTGATCAGCAGATGAAGCCAGGAACAAATGTGGTGCCGGGAACATGTGCCGGTTGTTGATCGATCCGATCTAGAGATATCTATTGGCAGAGGTTGTCACTGTAAGAGATGTCTTATTTGTACATCTTGCTGATGCGGTGGTGTACGTATATGGTACATACAGTGCAGAGACAGCTGAGTCACCAACATTAATGTTAAGCAGCACCTCTTGGGACGGGTTACCCATGTTCTGCCTGGCGAACTAGCAGCTGTACAACTCCTCCTATTCCTTTTAGAACAGTACAGAACATGGATGTTGCAAAAATGTATCGGCCAGACGATGCTCAGGGATATTGACACGCCAAAATGAAAAAGAAAAAGCGATCCTCGCTGCGGGGACTCGAACCCCGGTCCCAAGAGTGAGAGTCTTGTATCCTAACCACCTAGACTACAGCGAGATGATTGGTAGAAGTGAAATAATTGCAAATATACGGTCGTTCACCTGCACTCTCCCTGAGACTTCCATCTCAGACACAACCCACATTACGCCCACGTGAACCTACAACAGTATTACAACGACAAAGACGTCGTTCCTCCGCTCGACCTCTCTTTGATCGCGGTTCTTGTTCACAACGTGTGGGGATGATGCCAAGCTGGGCAGCGAAGCCCGGCACGGCTACAAGTCAGTGAGAGGTTTAAACACCTGTGGTGTTCCATTTTATTATACAAAAGTAATTTTGTAAGCCAGGTAGCCGGCATGGGCGCCTCACAGCTGCAAACCACGTGCAAGCAGGCGGACATGCCGTCTGGCTCCTAGCGCCCAGCCGGCAACTTCGCTAACAAGGCTCCATTCCGAAGTGACCGCACACTATATCCATGAGTCTAGCAAGATCCACTTGCTGGTAGCGATGCTTTCCTCGCGAACGGAGACGGGCTTCCTGGAACGAGCAACCGACCTTCCGGTGCTGCCTCTGCTGTTACTGTGCGTCTTCGTTGCATGGAAGGTATGGTGTCCGTTCTTCATATACATAACAGAATGAGCGCTCCCCACTGTGCGCAGCAACCCATGGAAAATTTCTGATCTTCAGCTTTCGGACACTGTGGCTCTGCTCGACAGCCAGCAGAGTTGGGAACCAACACATATAGCCACAGAAGCATGCTACCTCCAGGTGACACAAGGCAGGCAGCGCAGGGCGCTGCATGCTGCCGAGGCCCAGGCGACGGCCGCAGCCGCGGCGGCCGCCACGGCAGCGGGCGCCACGAGCGAGTGCTTCACGACCGAGTGGGCCAACCAGCTGCTGTGCGCCTTGTGGCCCTCCACACTGGAGCCCAGGGTCGCAGCCAAGGTGCAGGAGAAGCTTGACGTGAGTTCTGTCGACACTTGGACTCATAAAAATTTCCACCAACTTATTATTCTGCTGCTTCAACATGTTTTGCATGACTGGCCTAATCCTAAGGTCTGTTGTGAGAAGGGCTATGCTGTCTTCTGCTGCAATTGAGCCGCACGGGGCCAATCAAAGTCTGAGGTCACAAAACCATCCTGGAGGTAAAGAGCAGTCTTGTGCGCACAGCTGATTAGTGCATCCTGCACTCATTCTGGACATGTCCAGCAGGCAGCAGTCTTGAAAGTCTTGAAGGAGCGGGGACAAAAGGGTCCCCTGAGGTACGTGGAGCGCATCTCGGTAGAGCATGTCAGCCTGGGGAATGCGCCGCCGACGTTGCATGCAGTGCGCGCACAGAGCAGCCCGGCCGACAAGCTGTTGCGGCTCGACTTTGGCCTCGGATTTGCGCCCGCAGCCGGCTTCAGGGTCGTGGTGAGCGCCCTGCTCCCTAGTAATAGAAGCACAAAAGTCATGCTGTGTGCTGTCTTTTTGACTGTTGACTGTCAGAGCTGGTATGTGATCTCTCTTGCCCTTCTTAGCCAATAAGAGCAGAGAGCAGATTTAGCTGGATGGTAGGCCCCGTAGTGACATAAGCCGCAGCGAATGAGATTGTCATGAGCACTACGCTCACATTCAAACACGCGTGTCTGATGTCACATTGCCTTGAGCTGCTTGCTCTGTATCATGCTCAACTAAATACACAGTCAGCATAACACCATTCCGAATGTCAAGCAATTTGTGCGCTCAGTTGGCTCTGATGGTGCGGCCGACGAAGATGCTGCCAGCGATGGCAGTGCACGTGGAGGTGGCGAATGTGAAGCTACACGGCAGCTGCCGGCTGGCGCTCACCCTGGCGCCAGATCAGGCACCAGGCATCAGCAATGTAGCCGTCTCCTTCCTGCGGCCGCCGGTCTTCAGCTTTGACTTTGTGCCCTTTGGTCTGCCGGTCGGGGAGCTGCCCTACGTCCTTGATATGCTCAAGGTGGCGATTTTGGCTGTCATCAACACTTGCATCCTCCTTCGCCTGCCCTCACTTCAAAGAAGAATTGTGCTATGAAGCAATCCAATTTGTCCTTGCTACTAACCACTTGCAGGTGTTTATTGGAGAATCTTTATGGGGTACAGCCCTGTCCATGGCATCATCCCAACATTGTGTTTAAGAAACATAGAATGGAAACCAATGGACCAACTGTCGTCTTATGGCATGTGTTTGATCATAGCTTGGGCTCACATTGATGCAGGACCAGCTGCAGGCAGTGCTGAGTGCCAAAATGGTGGAACCGAACCGGATCAGCGTCAGCATCGGCCAGGATGCAGCAGAACAGGCGCCAAAACAGGACAGCCCGGGCATTGCCAAGGAAGCTTTGAGGGCGCGCTTGACCACAACTGAAGAACATGCTCAGCCGGCTCTTCCAGTCCATGAGAGGCCTAGCTGGTTGCCATGGCGGGGCAGGGCAGCAAGTGCAAGAGCTGTGCAGACACTCACGATGCAACCGCGGTCGGCTGCCACTGCAATATCTGAGCCAGTCACAGCGGAGGCACAGTATGAAACTACTAATACATTCATCTTTGGTGTTGATGAGGAGGACAGCAGCCAGTTTGAGGCAGCAGGAGACCAGGGAGCAGTGAGGCAGGGCCTGCAGCCAAATCCCAACGAAAAAACTACCAGTGCGCCAGAAGATGGCAGGAAGAAGAGCATGCAGCATGTGGTGCATGTGACTGCAGCCTGCACGGCTGCTCGGGCAGATGCTGCACAACAAGACAGCCGTGCTGAAAACATCCATTCAACCACGGAAGTGTGCACTCGTAGCAACTCAATGACACTGGAAATCGGAACCATCCTTCCCAGCGCATCAGATACTGATCCACCGGAAGAGCGCACAAGCCCGGACACTCTACTCGGTTCCTCGGCAGAAATAGATGCTGGTGAGGGGTCAACCCCAGAGGGTGTAACTGCCAGCAAGCCGGCAGCAGGTGGGAACTTTGATGCAGAGAAGGAAGCCAGGCTGGCGGCATGCAAGGCGTTGGCGGATACCACAGCCAACCTGGAAGCGCTTCGGAGGCGCATCGCAGCGGAGCGGCTGAGGGCGCTGGTAGAAGGCGCACCCTTCCTGGTGCATGCTGCCTCCGGGCCGAAGCAGCAGGTCGTCTGGTACAGGTCCGGCTCCATTACTTTTTTACTTTTAATTGGAAGTCTAGGGTTTCTGGGGTGTAGGGTCTAAACCCTAATGTTACCCTAAACCCTATATACACCCTTGCTTCCACCTAATTCATGTGCAGACGGGCTGGTGTTTCTGCACCTGTGCACTGCCAGCACCAATCCTATGCAACTTCTTGCCTTCATGAAGTGAAAAGCGTCCAGGAACGCTCCTGCTCTGCTGGACGTCCTGAAGGATTTGTTCTGGGGATAGTACACCTGCGTTTTCCGTACTGACAACAGGCAGGAATTAATTCTCAATCACTTTGCTCTATACCCCTTGAATGGAGATTTTCTGTCTAAAACCCTAAATCCACCAAATTACACTCAGGAGGAAAAAATATTACAATAAAGGCCCCTTTAGCCTAACCCTAAACCCTAACCCCTAAAAACTGGGTTACATTAAGTGTTTGAGAAATATTTTCTGTCGTGACAACGGGAATGACTGTATGCATGTGCCGCTGCAGCCAGTCGGAGAAGGTGCTTTACTGGGCGAATGAAAAGGGAGACAATACCACAGCACAAATGCTCCACCTCGCTGCAGACAGCTATGTGACTGCTGGCGCTGCTGAGTTCCCACAGCAAGCGGCCGGTGAAAAAGGTTTGTGCTTCGCCATTTTTGCCTGCTGGACGGGTCACTCGGGACTTATGTTCAGGGGTCTGTCAGCGGCAATACCTGACCTTACAGAGAGCACATTCTGACACAATTCTTTACAAAAAATTGTGCTGAAAGCATGGACGAGGCATTGCGAATGGCTTTGCGACCTGGGATTGCAGGCAAGATTCAAACATGGCCACCAATCAAGCTGTGGAGGCGCAACAGCAGTGCAGCACCAGACGCAGAGCGGGCAGTGGCTGAAAACGCGCGCTCATTATCAGTGTTGTCGCCAGACAAGGCGGCGCTGCACCTGGAGCTACCCAGACCTGGCAATGGGCGCTCAAGAAGGGAATGGATGGATGCAATCACCGATGTGATCAGCACTTCGGTGTAGAGTTGGGCATGCCATTCCATTACAAGAATGTGTAGAATATTTCCAGGGGCAGGACTTCAAGAAGCACGAATTCAGTTCTCGCATGAACATGTCTGGTACCCCTAGATTGTGATCACTCTCCAAGAACATTTAGATGGTGCAATGCTACCTCTATACGGTACTTGAGTTCTAACATTACCTCTGAAACAGCTGTGAAAGCTGGTTTGGCATCATCAAGCCGAATCCACAGTGGCAAAGCACACGCAGCGCAAGAGCAGAACCTCCAGAACAGCATTTTACCTGACAAAACTCTCTGCACTGCATCTGCACGGCAAAATGCAGTGCAGATGCTTATTCTAATGCCACAACAGGTGTGCAAGGAAAAAAGTAGCTGCATGACTCACAGCTCCGAGCAGGAGTCCACAGCACAGTTCACCTATCAGTGCTCAGTTGTGATAATGGATGCCCACCAGAAGGTGCCAAAAAGTGTGACTACGATGTCTTCAAAATTTGGTGATGCCAACTGGGACTGAATACACAGCTTCTAATAACCAGCTTCCCCCCAATGGTCAGAGCAGTCAAATTGACATGGCATACCACTGTGCTGCCAGAACTGACACACTATCACACTGTATGTTTAACTGGCTCTATGTTGACAGGAAAGTATTGCTGTCTTTGGCAGCTTCCAGAGAAGAGATCGGATCCGCCCATGTTGCGTTCAATGCCAGAGCTGTGAAAACATATGTGACGTCCTTTTCGTACTCTGCAGCACAGTGTCGATGAGTCAAGTGGGACCGTTCAGCCATCTGCTTTGCCAGGGCATGCAGATGGAACAAGCAGAAGCACATAAGCAGAATCTGGACCGACAGTGAGCTCTTATAAAACTTCTGTTTGAAACACCATGCATG